TTGTCAAGTCTGGGTGTGGATCCTCAGACACACCACCGCAGTGATCACCCTCCAGCAATCACCTGAAGGAAATGCTATCAGTGTTTTGCATATGAAGTAACCCGAAGCTGAAAGAGGAGGAATTGCTTGGGTAGCTTAGTAACTAGAGGAGCTGAGATTTAAATCCAGATGAATTTTTTCCAGATTTCTTTTTTTTTTTTCAACCAGCATTTATGCATAGTTGGGCTTATTTGTCTTTTTAAAAACTTAGCAGTTAATGCTGAGTGAATCTCGATTTGTTATCATTTTTTCTTAGTATCTCTGTACCTGCAATCTTCCCATGAAGCCTGTGTAGATGAAACAGCCCTTCTTGCCTATTTTAGCCTTCCTACGACTCCTGTGGTGCTGGTTAACCTTCAAAAAGCCCAGAAAACTTATAGGAGATGATGTGCCAGAGAAAAAGAAACAGTTTTGGAGTCTAAAAGATGCCCTCTTTTAAGTAAGTAAGTAAGTAAACAAACAAACCTGGGTTGCCCAAATGTGGTAGCCTGCTAAAGGAAACTCAACCTTGGCCTGGCTGGGTAGCTGCATGCCCAGCTACTTAAGAGGCTGAGGCAAGATGATCACTTAAGCCCAGAATTTCAAGACTACCCTGGGCAATATAGTGAGAACCCCATCTGTTTAAACAAAAAAAAAAAAAAAAAAGAAAAGAAAGAAAAGAAAAGAAAAAGAAAATTCAAGCTAATTTGAGATCTCTTACTCCAGTTCCAAACAGAGACCAGAGACTCACAAGAAGGAATAATTTCTAGACTTACTGAGCTTCAGAGACAAGGCTTTTAGTTTGTCTTTTTTAACTCATTCATTATTTCCTTGGGATGAATTTCAGGGAGAAGTAAGTCATTGGTTCATTTTCACAACTTGGTGTTAAGATTAGTAGGACAGGAATGTAGATCTTTAAGATCCATGTTGTGGATCAAAGACTTTTCTGACGATATAAATGTCATTCTCCATGGGGTGGCATTTTCTGATGCTGCAGTGTGGGTACTTTTGGTCTTAGTGGAGCAGGGTTCTACATTAAGTGTTTGTTGTTTTTTTTTTAATTGTTGTTTCCTTTATTTTTTTGAGACAGGGTCTCACAGTGTAACCCATGTTAGCCTTGAATTTGAGATCTTTCTGCCTCAGCCTCCTGGGTGCTCAGATTATAGGTGTGGACCACCGTGCCTGGCTTGCATTACAGTCTAGGTGTCTTATGTCTTTCTCTTCTTCCCATTTCTAATTTGATAGGATTCTGTCCAAGAACTGCAGAAAATGATCAACTTCAAGGTATGGCATCCATCTATTCATTTAGTCATTTAAATCTCTCACAAATCCGTATGATAAAAAGGAAGTAAGCTGAGTATGGTGGCTCAGGTTTATAATCCTATCTTCTTGGGAGGCAGAGACACAAAGGATCATTTTTGATGCCAGCCTCAGGCAAAAAGTTCACAAGACCCCATCTCAGCCAATAGCTGGGCGTGGTGATGCGTGCTTGTCATCTCAGCTGCTTGTGGAAGCATAAATAGGAGGATCACAGCCCAATCCATCCCCAAATAAATAGAGACCCTATCTAAAAAAATTACCGATGCAAAAAGGATTTGTGGAGGACTGGAGTGCTGGCTCAAGTGGTAGAGCACCTGTCTAGCAAGCACAAAGCACTGAGTTCAAAGGAAATACGGAAATACATAGTCAAGGAAGACATAAATGGAATAGATGTTCAGGTCCAAAAGGAAATCTAGAAAATATCTTCTAATATAGGTGTGTGTGTGTTGTATGTGTATGTGTTGTATGTGTATGCATGATACTGGGGATTGAACTCATTCTTGTGCTTGCCTGGCAATTGAGCTGTGTCTCAGTCCTATATTTATTCTTACATATGGTTTAGGTCGTTATTGAAAATGGGATGGGGAGCCGGGTGCTGGTGGCTCATACCTGTAATCCAAACTACTCAGGAGGCGGAGATCAGGAGGATTGTGGTTCGAAGCCAGCCTAGGCAAATAGTTCTTGAGACCATATCTCAAAAAAACCATCACAAAAAAGGGTGGTGGAGTGACTCAAGGTGTAGGCCCTGAGTTCAAGCCCCAGTATGCAAAAAAAAAAAAAAAAATAGGATGGGGGCTGGCAGAGTGGCTCAAGTGGTAGAGAGCCTGCCTAGCAAATGTGAAGGCCTTGAGTTCAAACCCCAGTACCACAAAAAAGAAAAGAAAAGAAAACAGTGGGATGGTCTTTTGTCATTCTAATTGGTTATTCTGGTGTATAGAAAAAATACTGATTTATCTATGTTGACTTTATATCCAAAGATTTTTTTGTCCTTTCCTATTCAATATTTATATCATTCTTTTTCTTATCTTATTATAATAGTCCAGGCTTCTAGTTACTGCATTTTTTATAGTAGCTACAATTTTGTTATTGCTAGCCAAAAGTCTTTTTTGTCTCAGTTTTAATGGGAATACTTACTGTGTTTCACCATCTCCTTTTGTATTCTGGTAGGTAGTTAATTTTTGATTATTTAGGGTTTTTGTGTTTGTTTGCTTGTATTTTTAAATTATATTAAGGACTTTTTAGCACATGGAGATTAGTTTTCCTAAATTTAGAAGTTTTTTTTCATATCCTTCTTTATACCTATCAATAAAGTCATATATTTTGCCTTTTTAAATATGCCAGTTTAGATAATTTTGTTTTTGTGGGACTGGGGTTTTGAACTCAGGGCCTCATGCTTACTAGGCAGGTGTTCTACCACTCAAGCCACCCTACCAGCCCTTTGTTGTGTTGGATATTTTCAAGAAGGATCTGGTGAACTATTTGTGCGGGGCTGGCTTTGAACCAAGGTCCTCCTGATCATTGCCTCCTAAGTAGCTAGGATTACAGACTTGAGCCACCAGCGCCTGGCTAGAGAATTTTTTTTTAAATTTTTTATTTTTTTATTATTCATATGTGCATACAATGCTTGGGTCATTTCTCCCCCCGTCCCCCCCTTACCACTCACTCTGCCCCCTCCCTCTCCCCCGCACCTCCTCGATACCCAGCAGAAACTATTTTGCCCTTATCTCTAATTTTGTAGAAGAAAGAGTATAAGCAATAATAGGAAGGAACAAGGGTTTTTGCTAGTTGAGGTAAGGATAACTATACAGGGACTCACATTAATTTCCTGTGCGTGTGTGTTACATTCTAGGTTAATTCTTTTTGATCTCACCTTTTCTCTAGTTCCTGGTCCCCTTCTCCTATTGGCCTCAGTTGCTTAAAGTGTCTGCTTTAGTTTCTCTGCATTGAGGGCAACAAATGCTAGCTAGTTTTTTAGGTGTCTTACCTATCCTCACCCCTCCCTTGTGTGCTCTTGCTTTAATCTTGTGATCAAAGTCCAATCACCTTGTTGTGTTTACCCTTCATCTAATGTCCGCATATGAGGGAGAACATACGATTTTCGGTCTTTTGGGCCAGGCTAACCTCACTCAGAATGATGTTCTCCAATTCCATCCATTTACCAGCGAATGATAACATTTCATTCTTCTTCATGGCTGCATAAAATTCCATTGTGTATAGTTACCACATTTTCTTAATCCATTCGTCAGTGGTGGGGCATCTTGGCTGTTTCCATAACTTGGCTATTGTGAATAGTGCTGCAGTAAACATGGGTGTGCAGGTGCCTCTGGAGTAACCTGTTTCACATTGTTTTGGGTATATCCCCAAGAGTGGTATTGCTGGATCAAATGGTAGATCAATGTTTAGCTTTTTAAGTTGGCTAGAGAATTTTTAATATACTGAGCTATCTGTGCATTCCTAGTGAAAACCCTACCTAATCACCTTAGCTTTTTTATAATGGGCGAAACAGTATTTTAGATTTGAAGCTCATTCAGCCTCTGTAGCAAGTGCTCTGCTGTTGCAACTGAAGTAAATGAATGGGTGTAACTACGTTCCAATAACATTTTACTTACAAAAACTAGAGGACAGCCAATGAGTTGTGGTTGTTAATCCCCAGCCTATATGGCCTTAATGATGTCTTTACATGCCTTTTAGTGTTTTTTGTTTGTTTGTTTCAGAGCTGGGGATCAGGTACACTAGGCAAGTGCTCTATAACTGAGCTAAAACCCTTAATTTGAATGCTTTTAATTTTTACCCATTATCCTCCTGATCTCTGCCTTGCAAGTGGCTAGGAGTCCAGGTACAAGCAACTGGCACTTGGCTCACTTTCATTCTTTTGTGTATGGATATTTAGTTGTCTCATCACCATTTGTTGAAAGGACTTTTCCCCCATTGAGTTTTTCTGACACTAGTTGGATATTTTTTAAATAGAATTTTTGTTTCTATTGCAAAGAATACTTTTTTTTCTTTTGGTGGCACTGAGGTTTGAACTCAGGACTTCATGCTTGCCAGGCAAACACTCTTACCACTTGAGCCACTCTACCAACCCTTTTTTGTGATTGGTTTTTTCAATAGAGTCTTGTGAACTATTTTCCTGGGCTGGTTTTGAACCATGACCCTCCGGATCTCTGCCTCTTGGAGTAATCAGGATTACAGGTATTAGTCAGCAGTGCTGGCTAGCAAAAAATATTCCTGAATCAACTATACTGTAGTTACTATGCAAAGTTTTCTATAAATTAAACAGTGAACATGTGATATCAAGAGGCTGTTGGGCTGCAGGCGTGGCTTAAGCAGTAGAGCACCTGCCTAGCAAGTGCAAAGCCCTGAGTTCAAACTCCAATACTGTGGGCACTGGTGATGCACGCCTGTAATCCTGGTTACTTGGGAGGCAGAGATCAGGAGGATTGAAGTTCAAGGCCAGCCTGGGTGAATAGAGACCCTATGTTGAAAATACCCGACACAAAGGCTGGTGGAGTGATTCAAGTGGTAGAGAGTCTGCCTAGCAAGTGTGAGGCCCTGAGTTCAGTACTGCCAAAAAAAAAAGCAGTACCACCAAAAAAAAAGGAGGGAAGAGGCTCTGTCATGATTCTCTTGCAAGTTCCTAACACTGCACATGTTAGATTAAAATGGATGTGCTGTTACAGGAATTGCTGACATTCCAGGATGTAGCTGTGAAACTACCCCAGAGGAATGGCAGCTGCTTGATTGTGATCAGAGAACCCTGTAATGGGATGTGATGCTGGAGAACTACAGAAACCTCATCTTAGTGGGTAAGGACAGTGGGTGGAAACTTTTCATTGTAGCTCAGAGGGTTCTAATACAATGGTTTTCCTTTAAGACTTGTGAAAGCTGTGGCTGGGCACAATGACTCATGCCTGAGATCCCACCTACTCCAAAGGTGGAGAGTGGGAGGATTACTGTTGAAGGCCACCCAGGCAAAAAGTTAGCAAGATCCCATGTAAGCAATCAGCTGGATGTGGTGATGCATGCCTTTGATCCCAGCTCTGTGGGAGGCCAGAGGATTGCAGTCTGAGGCAGCCCTAGAGCAAAAACTAATATTCTACTTTAAAAAATAACCTAAAATGTGGCTCAAGTGGAGCAAAATCCCTGAGTTAAAAAACCCCAGTACTGCCAGAAAGAAAGGAAGGGAGGAGGGAGGGTTGGAGGGAGGAAGAAAAGAAAAGAAACTTGTGAAAGCTGTGAATATTCTAAAGTATTAATGAATTTGGCCCTGAATTTTAGTGGTCGGAAATTCCTTATCCTCTTTGGAGCTCAGATAGTCGTTTATTCTTCTGCCTCCCAAATGGAGAAGGATCTGTTCTGTTCGAAAGTATATTTGGCTCAAAAGAGCCAAACCTGAGTTGTAAGGTAGTTATTTATCCCTAGCACCTTGTCCCCTCTTCTGTGTTGTTGTCCAATGAACATGGTGTCCCATTACCCAAACAAAAGTGATCTTCAGGGTGGAGCAAGAACTGGTGGCTGGTGGAGGGAGAGAATTTACACTGGAGTTGTCCAGGTATGGGAGAGAAAATCAGGTGGGAGTCTTTGGAATTGAGATCCCAGTTGGTCAGTGGGGACAGGCACCTTGGAGATACTGTTTAGGAAGCACCTCTTAAAAGCCACAGACCTTTGGAAATGAAATGATACCTTCACATAGGGGCTCTTTGTCCTCTCTCTACTCGGCTCCTCTCCCTGCTCGTTTCATCTAGGTCTTGCTTTATTTCTGTTTTCTGAATTCCTGAAACTAACTTTTCTTCCCTTCTCAAAATGATTTTCTGTATTGTTAGTTCTTAGAGTCAGATTTATGGATTTGAAGCCTTACTCCACCAATCATTGACTAACATTGGACAAATTGTTTTGTAGCACAATTTTTTTTCACAGTACTGGGGCTTTGTTACACTTGCTAGACAGGTGCTCTAGACTTGAGCTACGCCTCCAGTCCTTTTTACTCTGGTTATTTGGAGATAGGTCTCACTCTTTGCCCGGGCCAGCCTGGACCGTGATCCTCCTATTTTACACTTCCTTTCGTAGCTGTGATGATAGGCATGTGCCATTATGCCCAGCTTTTTTCCAGTGAGATGGGCAAAAACCTTTTTTTCCGAGGCTGGCTTGGAGCCTCCATCCTCCCAGTCTCAGCCTCCTAAGTAATTTGGGATGACAGGCAATACTACCATGCCCAGCTATTGATTAAAATGGGATCTGGTAAACTTTTTTGCCCATGTTGGCCTCAAACCTTGATCTTCCCAATCTCAGCCTCACAAATAGCTAGGATTTCAGGTGAGCCTCCAGTGCCCAGATAATATTTGTATTTAGAAAATAAGAATACTAATCCCTACTTCACATTTCCTGTGAAGATTATATATGTGTTTTACCTGTAAAACACTTCAAATTGTTGGCAGATAGCAAGTGTTCAGTATGTGTTTAAAAAAAAAAAAACTTAGTAATATCATGCTGTAATTATTTTCCTTACCAAAACAAAACAAAACAAAACAAAAACTCAACTTCTTTTCTTGCATTATATTCTCCACTGTTTTAATTTAGTATCTTTATTTTTGTTTGTTTGTTTGTTTGTGTTTTGGCAGTACTTGAGTTTCAACTCAGGGCCTCACACTTGCCAGGCAGGTGCTCTTCCATTTGGGCCACTCTGCCAGCCCTGTTTTGTGTTGGATATTTTCAAGATAGAATCTCCCAAACTATTTGCCTGGGCTGGCTTCCAACTGTGATCTTCCTGATCTCTGTCTGCTGAGTAGCTAGGATTATAGGCATAAGCCTGTAATTGCCTGGCAATTGAGAGTCTTTAAGATTGAGAGATTGCTTCACTGATAAGGAGAGACAAGATAATACAAAGATTTTATTAACTTACAGGTCCTGGGGGAGTGTACAGCATGACTGGAAGTACATACATAGATCCCAGGGCGTGAAGGCATGGAGAGAGAGGGACCTGTGAGCCAGTCCTTTAATTGGGTCTAGGATGTTATCCAAACAGGTTTTCCATGGGAATCTTTAGTTGGTGGGTTTAAAGCAAGCAGGTGCCTGTGGCTCATGCCTGTAATCCTAGCTACTTGGGAGGCTGAGATTGGGAGGATCGCATTTTAAGGCTAGCCCGGGTAAATAGTTCATGAGACCCCCATCTCCAAAATACCAGAGCAAAATGGACTGGGCGGGGTATGACACAAGTGGTAGAGTAAGTACAATGTCCTGGGTTCAAACCCCAGTCCCACTAACAAAAAAAAAGTAAACAGGCCCAAATTTCAGGAGGTCACATTGAGACTAAGAGGTTACTGTGACATGTCTGCAGGTTGTGAGGGTCAGCAGGTCCAGTCAAATAGGCTGTATTTGGGACTAGCTGTTTCACAGGGAAGTTGTCACCAGGGAGCATTTGTATAAGGTGGGAATCTGGATTGACGATATCGAAGAACTTGGAGGTGGGAAAGGTGAAGAACTAGAAGGTGTTGAGGGTGACCAAGCCCTGTTCTGATATGAGAAAGTTAAACTTATATCAAAAAGGAGGCTGAAGTTATAAGAATTCACTACACTCACTTTGCTAATCTTCAGTCTCACTAATAATGTGAGTCTAGTGTGTCTTTCTGCTTTTCTTGGTAATACTGGGTTTTTTAAAAAAAAATTCTCCTCCAACTTGATTTTAGTTGTTTCCTAGCTAATCTGTTCTCACCCTTTTACTGACAATTCATCTCTTGCTTCTTGCCTCCTCTACCATCTCCTCTCCACAGTAACTTCCTCAGCAGCCCCATCACTCTGAAGAGTAAAATTATGTGTTCTATGCCATCTCTGGCCTCGTTGCCTCAGCAACTTTCCATTCCCGTAATTTTACTCCACCTGACCTTATTTTGTCTTTTCATAGTAACTAATTTTTAAAATTCTTTAACCTTCACCTTTATATTCCAATAAGGAATAATGATTGGTTCACTACTTTATAATCTCAGAGCAATTTGTTGTTTTTCTCTCAGTAGTTTTATCTTAAATACTACATGGACCTAATAGCCTATGGTTTCAACTATTGGTTATCTGAGGCTGATTAAAATAAAAATTTGTCTTTCCACAAAGAGCATAAAAGTATTTTTCAAGTGATTAAGATACCAATTGTTCTGGGTGCTGGTGGCTCATGCCTGTAATCCTAGCTACTCAGGGGGCAGAAATCAGAAGGATTGTGGTTTGAAGCCAGCCTGGAAAATAGTTCTTGAGGTCCTATCACGAAAAAAATCCAACACAAGAAAGGGCTGGTGGAATGGCTCAGGTGATAAGAGAGCCTGCCTAGCAGACGTGAGGCCCTGAGTTCAAACCCTGGTACTGCCAAAAAAAAAAAAAAAAAAAAAAGACCCTAATTGTATTTTATATTCCCTGGGACCTCAACTTATACTCGACATAAACTAAATGAATTTAATTACTAATATTCTATTTGGGCAGTTTATATTCCTATTTTTGCTAAATTCCATTTTATTTTCTGGTTTATCTTAGCTGTTTCTACACAATTTATTTGACTTACTCCCTTTTTTTTTGGTGGTACTGCATTTGAACTAAGGGCCCTGTGCTTGCTAAGTAGGTGTTCTACCACTTGAGCCATACCCATCCCCCCAGCCCTTTTGCTTTGGTTATTTTGGGGATAGGGTCTCAATTTTTGCCCAGGGCAGTCTAGACTTTAATCCTTCCATTTATGCTGCCTGCATAGTGGAGATGACAGGTGCGCAACACCACACCCAGTATTGGTTGAGATGGGGTCTCGAAAACTTTTTGTCTGGCTGGCCTTGAACTGTGATCCTCTCAATGTCTGCCTCCTGAGTAGCTAGGATTATACGTGTGAGCCACTATGCCCGGTCCAAATTATTCCATTTTTTCTTATCATTCTTCTGAAAAATGTTTTAGTCCTTTATAAACCTGTATTGTAGTGGGTGCCAGTGGCTCACACCTGTACTCCTAGCTACTTGGGATCGGGAGGATTGTGGTTTGAGGCCAGCCTGCGCAGATAGTTTGCAAGATCTCTCGGGGTTGGGGATTTAGCTCAGTGGAAGAGCGCTTGCCTGGCAAGTGTAAGGCCCTGAGTTCGGTCCCCAGCACCGAAAAAAAAAAAGGAAAAAATAGAAAAAAAAAGCAAAAAAGCAAGATCTCCAAAATAATCAGAGCAAAAATGGACTGGATATGTGGCTCAAAGTTCTTTGTTCAAACCTCAGTCCAACGTTCCACCCCCGCAAAAAAGCTGTCTTGTGATATTAATGCTTTTAGTGCTCTTTATGCTGTGGTTCATGTTGCCAATCCAGAATTCTCCATCTTTCCCCTATTCCATGAGAAGTAAGCTCTTTTATGTCTTCTCTATACAGTTTTCTGCATCAGTTCTTTTTATTTTAGTGGTCCCCATGTAACTAAAGCCAGCATGAGTTCAGTTTTCTCTTCTTTTGTGATCCTAAGCTTAGATTAATTTCTGCCTCTGGAACTCCCAATCCAACTTTGCCATTAGTCTGTCATGAAAACTTGACATATATTGTCATGGAATTTTTAAAAATCCAATCCTTTGGCCTTTTTTTTTTTCTTTTTGCGGTACTTGAGTTTGAACTTACGGCCTTGGGCTTGCTAGGCAAACACTCTACCACTGGAGCTACACACCAAGCCTTCCTTTTGGCTTTTAAGGCATGTTTTTCATGATAGTGCCCTGAAGAGAAAGAGGCTTATTATTTTTTCCCTTACATCCATGCTGAGCACATAATGGGCATTTAGTAAACATTTCATTAATTCAGGTTGTTGAGCCAGGCATTGTGAAGACATATTTCTTATTCTTCCATTAAAATAACCTCTTAAATGATTCCTGAGAAGGATTCAAAGAAAGCACATTGCCATTTCTAAGTGTGTAAATGGTAATAGGAACAGCAAAATGTAGCTATTAAAACATTTAAAAATTTGACATGTGAAACATTTGTTGAGTTCACATTAGCACTGCATTTTATTTTATTTTTAAAATTTTATCTATTTATTTATTTTGTGGTACTGGGGCTTGAACTCAGGGCCTTCACCTTGAGCCACTCCACCAGTCTTTTTTTGCGATGGGTTTTTCGAGATAGGGTCTTGTGAATTATTTGCCCAGGCTGGCTTTGAACCACAGTCCTCCTGATCTTTGCCTCCTGAGTAGCCAGGATTACAGGTGTGAGCCAGCAGTTCCCGGCTTGACACTGCGTTTTAGTTCTACTTAGTTGTCTGAGTGAATGCTATAAGCAACAGTGTCTTTCTTAGAAATCCAAAGAAAACAGAGCTTTATGTTTAAAGTATGCAAAGACTGAAGAAGTCTGGTTTTGAGATTATGAAATAATCACTCTTCCCTAAAGAATATCTAAATTCTATCTAGAGTGAGAGGAGACAAAGGAGGGTAGATTAAAGTAGGGAAGAAACATGAGCAAAAGTCATAGAGTATCCCTTATGATGGTTCAGTTTAGGATTTTTGACTTTACAGTGGTGTAAAATTGCTACACATTCAGTAAAATATTGAACTTCAAACTCTGAATTTTGATATTTTCCTGGCCTGGCTATATGTGCTTCTCTGTGAAGGTGCTGTGTAGCAGTGAGCCACAGCTCCCTGTTAACCACACAATCATGGTAAATGACCAGTACTCTACAGTGTACTGTGTTGCTGAGCTGGAGTGTTTGATAAATTAAGTAAATGCATTTTCAGGAGTCTAGAATCTGTGAAATGCATGCTTAGATCCCATGAGTGAATTCATTTATTCTTTTCTTTTTCAGTATTAGGGTTTGAACTCGGAGCTTCATGCTTGTTAGGCAGACACTCTACCACTTGAGCCACTCCTCCAGCATCCTTTTGTTTTGAGACAAGTTCTCACTGTGTAGCCCAAGCTGGCCTCAAAATCATGACACTCCTACCTCAGCCTCCTGAGTGCTGGGATAGGTCTATACTACCATGCCTGGAGAATTCATATCTTAGATAGTTTTGCTTACCAGGCTGAGTACCCTGGATTTTTTTCAGTCGGTCACAGAGATAACAAAGGATGCTGCTTCCTTTTCGTTTTAGTAGAAAGGAACCAAATCCCCACACTCAGAACCACTCTAATTAGTAGGCTAGAGCCCACCGCTCAGACCAGCTCCACAGAGAATGAGGCATAGAGCAAGAAGCTAGGGGTATTGTACTGTACTAACATTCTACGTGAAGGGAAACACCAAAATGGGCAGTTACAACATCTTCCCCCCCATTTTTTTTAAATGGAGCAACAGATTTGAGATTTATGAAGTTTTGATGGTAGGAGCAAAAGAAAGAAAATTGTGCCTTAAGAAACAGCAGCTTTTAAGAGACTAGTTTTACTAGGTAGGTTGAAAGAGGATGTAAAAACAATACTTGTCTAATACAAGTATGACAGGTAACTGTCATATACAAAAATCTAGCCAAAATTAAAATGATAGCAAATAGAATATGTGACTGGATTAAGGGTGACTTGCCTGTGGGTGACCATGTTGGTCATTTGTGTTCTGGACTTAACAGTATATATAAGAATGGATCCCAGCTGTCACTTGAGTTTGAGCCCTACTTACAAACATACCTTAGCTGTGGTTTGGATGGAGTTAGATGACTAGCGATAGAAGAATGTTCCTGCCTCTGGATGTGGTGGTTCATGCCTGTAATCCCAGCACTTGGGAGACTGAGGCAAGTTCCTAAAGAATATTGACATTGTGCAGTATGATTAAGAGAAAAAAGTCGTGGGCTGGGATGTAGCTCTGTGGTAGAGCACTTGCCTAGCATGTGTGAGGCCCTGGGTTTGATCCCAGCACAGAACCCTAAATATTATCTGCTTCCTCCAAATCCCTTGCCTCCTGTTTTCCTGGTAACCCTATCATTAATCAGATCTCCACAATGGGCTCTCCTCATTCTATGACCTAAAAATCCTGTACCCTTGTTGAATAAACTTTTGACTTACATTGTATCCTACTCACTGTGCGTTGTGCCTTTTTTACTCTCTTTCCACAGGTTACAAGTTAAGCCATCTGTTCTCATTTTTATTATTTATTCGCTCCCATTTTCTCTTTAGCAGTTTTGTCCTTAAAACTCACTAAGATCAAGGCAAATACGGGGTTTATTTCAGAACTATGGGAAGAAAGTAATGAGGAATGTTTTATTGCACTCCTTTTTAGATGCTGACTGATGAACCAGAGAAGCATCAGGAAAGCAAAGACAGTTTTTTAAAGTCAATTTTGTTCACTTTTAGTAAAATTTTGACAATGGAGAAACTCCACCATTATGATATGAACACAGATCTTAATCCTAGAAGAAAAAACCCACATAACTGTAAATCATAGGGGAAGAATTTGTAACCTAATTTAGACTTACTTAATTATACTAGGAATTATGCTGGAGACAACTCTTATGAATGCAATGAATGTGGGAAAGCCTTCAAAAATAAGTTTAATTTCATTAGACATGAGAAAAACCATATAAAAAATAAACCCTCTATGTGCAGTGACTGTGGGAAAGCTATCATGCAAAGAATCCAACTTGTGGCCCACCACAGACTTCATACTGGAGAGAAACCTTACAAATGCAGTCATGTGGAAAAACATTCATGTGGACCTCCTCCTTTAATCAACGTGTGAAATCTCACACGCTTGAGAACTCATTTGAATGTAAGGAGTGTGGGAAAACCTTCAGGTGTACTTCATCCCTTTATAAACACACGAAACTTCTTAAAGGAGAAAAACCTTACCACTGTACAGTATGTGGCAAAATCTTCGGCAACCCATCTGTGCTTGTTACACATCAAAGAATTCATACAGGAGAGAGGCCTTACAGATGTACTGAATGTGGCAAAGCGTTCTTCAAGAAGTCTCATCTCCTTAGACATCAGAAAACTCATACAGGAGAGAAGCCCTATGCGTGTAACAAATGTGGAAAAGCATTTACCCAGAAGCCAAGTCTTACTGTACATCAGAAAATTCATACTTAACATTCCATTTATGCATATGAAAAGGCCTAAATATTTGATGACTTTATTCAGTAGCAGAGAATTCATGGTGAGAAATCCAATTTGAATAAATGAAGAAGAATAAGAAGAGTAGATCCCTGTAAAAAAGCCATCAGTGCCAATTGTGTTCTGCCAGTGAAAACAAACTTTCTCAGAAAAACCCCCCACGAGAGCTATAATAGAGCATAGCACTTTGAATGTAAGCATAAATTAAATAAGGAACCAGTGAAAACTACACTTCACCATTTCTGATTTTTAATTTCTATAACTACTATAATTATGCAAATATGAGTATAAAATACATGCTTACACATCAGTTTATCTCTCCAAGTGTCTGCGGTGGCCCAGTGCAGTGGAACCTGCAGACACCCTGTACTCGGGGAGGCTGAGGTTGGAGGATCACATGAGTCTAGTAGTTTGAAACCAGTCTATGCAACATAATAGACCCCCATCCCCAATAAAAGAATTTCTGCAGAAAAAAAGATTTTTCTTCTGCTCCTAACAGCATGTGTATAATTATAAAGTTAGAATATGTGGGTTAATTTGAAACATGAATATTAATATTTTCATCCATTTACTGACTTAAAAAATTGGCATTACTTCGGGGTTAAACTCAGGGCCTTGAGCTTGCTAGGCATGTGTTCAACTACTTGAGCTATATACCCAGCCCTTTTTGCTTTGATTATTTTTGAGATAGGTTCTTGATTTATGTCTGGGCAGCCTGGCCAGTGATGCTCCTATTTACGCTTCCCACATAGCTGGGAATGATAGGTATGTGCCACCAGTACCCAGCTGTAATTGGTTGAGATGAGGTCTTGGGAACTTTTTTGCTCGACTGGCCTTAAACCACAGTCCTTCCAATCTTTACCTCCTAAGTAGCTAGGATTAGAGGTTTGAGCCACTGTGCCCAGCCTACTGGCACTTTTAATGGGCACAGCAGTGTTACTAAATCTGTCTCTTTGTTAATTATAAAAGTGAAGACTTCTTACAAAGATATTCTCCTATGTATGTAAATACAAATGAATTTAATAAACTGCTAATTGAGAAAAAAGGAATTGTGTTCTGTACTACATTAAGTTTTCAGTCAAGGAAAAAAGATTTAAGTATGTAAAAAACATTTAAATATTTCTCTTCTTATCATTGGTGTATCATAAGCTCAAGGAATATGTAACAGGTATCATCTGTATTTGATTTTAGTAAATTAGGGTGTCATGATACTTTGCAAATTTGGGAAAGAGGGATTTGGGTGTTTTGCTGTTTTCTTAAGAAGCAATAGGTTTATTTCCTAGGGTGCCTGGAGTTTTCCATATAGTCAACAGGGGCATCATTTTATAATTAATCAAGTTGTTTGAAAAGAGAAAGTTTTTTTGCTTCAATTTCATGTTGAAATATGAATTTTTAGGTTCTTCTTGAAAGCATTAACCAACCATTATTTAAGCTAAAGTTCTTACTGCTTGCCACAGTGTTTCTTAATAATGGTAAAAAAGTTTTTAACCTTTTTTGAGTGGTGACAAAATCTAGATTGTACCTAAATTCTGAAATCAAGACTTTTCCTTGTAAATTTAAGCTCTGTTACTACTATATTGCATTCTTTTTCTTTCATTAGCCAATTTCTGAAGAGTAATATAGTAACTAAATGAATTATAGTGCTTTTTTGAACAGACATCCTGAAAGATCTAAATTAAATATTGTCTTTCCAAGTTATTTTAAGAGTCTATATGCTCATTTCTCTATTCAGTAATTCCAAGTTTCTGGGACTTTTTCTTTTAAGTTGTCTTCTGAACCAATTTTCCATACATACAGGGAAATCTAAGTTTATGGTTATCATGCTTGCTGTTTTTCAGCTCAACAGCTCACTTTCATCCTCATCTAGTCCTATTTGGTGCTTATCCTTCCCATCCTATTCATCCTTCCCCTCATCTGAGACACTCCAAACTCCACAGACAAAAGGAAGACAGATAGAGGTTCCATTGTTACCACTATGGTGTGAGATGCCCTTACTGTGTAGCGACTGTGTAGGTCAAGGTGACAAGAAGTGTGCAGTGGTCTGCTCCAGCTCCCTGGGAATAAGATATGGCCCAAGAATGTGTAATATATTAGGAAGCATGTAATTTGGATTCCATAAATTTTTTGCCTTTTTTCTTAGGTGGAAACAATACAGTAGATAGCCAGGCATGGTGGCTCACTCCTATAATCCTAATTTTTAGGAGACTGAGATTGAGAGGATTGTGGTTTGAGGTCAGCCCTGGCAAATAGTTCCAGAGACCCTATCTCCAAAATAAGAAGAGGAAATGACCTGGAGGTGTGGTTCAAATGGTAGAGCAGCGATTTTGTAAGTGAGAAGCCCTAAGTTCAAACCCCAGTGCAAAAAAAAAAAAAAAAAAAAAATATATATATATATATATATATATATATATATATGAATAACATAAAATATTCCCAGTACTAGATAGATAGATAAATGTAAACTGCCACCTAAGGGACCTATCAATGACCTCATTTTTTTAGACTATGCAAGATTTTGATGTGAAGAAAACCAAAACTTTACACTCAATTCCACCCAGACAGCTTGGATTCCTCTAATGCTAATCTTGTGCTCTATATCTGAAACAGCCATAGACAATCTATTAATTTTTGCCATCTCTAAAACAATTTCATACCATGAGATTTTCTTTTTTAAAAAAACCCTATACAGTGTCCTCTTTCTCTTATTTATTACATTGGTGATAAATAAAGCTGGTCCGTGGGTGGGTGTGCTGACTCGGGTAGCGCAAGTGCCTAGCACGTGCAAGGATCTGGGTTCACGCTCCAGCAATGAAAAAAATCTGATTGTATCATGAATGCCAGTTTTTAAGAATCACATACAAAAAGTATAATGAAAAGAAACAAACAGAAAAAGCAGAAACCAGACATCTGAGTTTAGGGATTCTTGTGCTCTGGAAAAGGATGAAGTGCAGGATTTATAAGATGTAAAAACATTTAAGAGTAACTCGAAATGTATAGAAATAAAATGTGCAACTGTAAGTCTGAAGAGAGTTCATGAAAGCAAATCTAACAGCTAGAAAGATGAAAGTTGCAGAAAAAAATATGGTAAATAGTAAAAATAAAAGTAGAAATGAGTATACCAATAACATTAACTGCAAATGGGTTCAACTCACTATGATGATGAATAAGCAATGATCTGATAGGCTTTTATCCAGAGGCACTTACATATTTTTTATAATTTTCCTGTACAAACTAAAAGCATCTTATTTCCAATGAGCTGACCACAGGACACATTGCCACCTTGTCCTGCAAAGCTTCTTTCAACTGGTTCTAACACTACACTGGCAACAATGGCACCCATATACCCTTCTGAAGGGCATCCTCTTCTTGTTGTCTTAAGTATGGTTTGGAGTGTCCTCCTCATGGGGAGGAGAGAGGAACTATAGGACCAAAATTGTATGGTTTTTTTTGGTATTGTGTTCAAAATTATTTAAATTGCTTCTTTGCATGTTTGTTACTGATTTAATATACAGTTGGGTTCTTTTCTTTTTTGTATTCAGTTTTGGGGATTTGGTTTTTTTTCTTTCTTTCTTTTTTTTTGTTTGTACTGGGCTTGAACTCAAGGCCTCACATTTGCTAAACAGGAGCTCTGTCTCTCCACCAGCCTTTTCTGTTTTGTGTTGGGTTTTTTTTTTTTTTTTTGTGGTACTGGGGCTTGAACTCAGGATCTCATGTTTGCTAGGCAGGAGCTCTACCACTTGAGGCATTCCACCAGCCCTGTGTTGGGTATTTTTGAGATAGGGTCTCTCAAAGTATTTGCCCAGGCTGGCTTCGAACTATAATCCTCCTGATCTCTGCCTCCTGAGTAGCTAGGATTACAGGTGTGAGCCACCAGTGCCTGGCTTCTTTTTCATTTTTATCATTTTACTTAAGATTGTAGAAAATGTTGATTAAATGTAGGCAGTCACACGCAATCACTTTGCCAGCCACAAAAGAGTATGTGTAAGTAATTTATAAACAAAGTTTTTTTTCAAGTTCAAGCATCTTTTTTCTCATTTCCTTTTTGAAACTTACTTTGTTTTATTTAACATTTACTCTTCCCATCTTAGCTCTTTCTCAGTTCTTGTCATTAGCAGTAATACCTATTTTAACAAATCTAAACTTCAGGACAGAAAGATTCTTTGGCATGGGGTCAAGGTGGGTTTCATTGCTGTCAGAATGATAGAGACCCCAAGAGAGAAGCCTTGGGTATTAAGGTAGCAGAATGAGGACGGAAGGAGTCCGAGAGTTTTATTTGGATTTATGATCTAAGCTATATGATTTAAACTTTCTGATCCTTTTTTTTTTTTTTGATGGAACTGGGGTTTGAACTCAGAACTTTCACTTGCAAAGCAGGCATTCTGCTTGAGCCACACCTCCAGTCCATTTTGTTCTAGTTATTTTGGAGATAAGATCTTGCAAACTATTTGCCCCAGCAGGTCTCAAATCCCAGTCCTCCCAACCTCAGCCTCCTAAGTAGCTAGGATTACAGGCATGAGCCACTGGTGCCCAGCTTAATCCCTTTCTTCAATGAATGAAGAATCAGCTTTAAAGAATTACTGTAAGCCATACTATAATTATAATATGAACCATAATGAATTAAATAGCTGTTTGAAAAGTTAGACATTTCTATTTTAAACTATAATTAGTAATGTCTTCAAGTACTATGTTTAATATTTTCTTTCAACCTCAGACATTTTAAGGCAAAGCTTTTCTGTATTTAAGCTGTAAGTATCAATCAGGAATCCAACAAAAGAACAATGAAAATTATTTTCCCATATTTCCTGACATCTTTGACACTTAGTACTCTAGTACTGAACACATATATGTTACTATGTAGAGAGCTTTGTACTATTGACTTTATTCTTTCCCTGTATGATCTCAACCCCAGAACATAACTTTGGCAAGAAGAAAAATAAATGTTACTTATACTCAGCTCAAATATGTTCTTAAATTCC